AGCACAAGAATAAGGACATCAAAATGTCCAATAATACACACTCTATTAGAAAGTCGCTCCTCCAAATTACTTATACACCCTACAGAAGGCAGAACATATAATACTAGTTACTTAGCGAATTTAAAGTAAAAGCAGGAGGGACGCCAAGAAGTTTGATCTATCTAAAGGTCAAAAGTATAGAATAGAAAAAGAAAGCAACAAATTACGAGTAAAATACGAAGGCTATTATTGTCTTGTCCTTTAAGTATCTTACATTCGGGACATCGTACGAAAAAAGTCAGAGTTGGGTGAGATTATACCAAAGTTGCGACTGGCTTCAATTAAGGGCACTAAGAACTTCCGAAAAATAAAGGGCAGAAAAAGCCTCGATTAAGACATCGAAGGCGTGATAGGAGGATATAGGAAATGTGAATAGCCCAGGGCAAAAGGAGAGGCACCACAACTGTTTAGCACACGTCTGGTCGAAGGATCGGCTTCATTTGTCTCTTTGGCGAGTCGTAGTGTGGTGCTAAGAATGGCGAGACTCACTGAGGATGCCGGCGAAACGTCTGGGAATGTACCACATCCACGGTCCGACTTTTGAAATTACCATGCATACAATGGAATCCGGACTATGTGCGTTCATTTAAGTCTTCCTACCAATATGACGAACCTGCGAAGTTACTCTAAAGAAGTATAGTTTGGAAAAATCCAGAGGGAGTAAAGAAATTTGGGCGAAAGAAGTGGTGGACGAAACCAATCCGACCAGCCACAAATATTTGTTTGCCCTCCACCTCTCTCCTTGTGCAGGTTAGAACTCTTGATTTCTGAAGAGAGTATATGTAAAAAATGATAAATAAATGCAGCCATGACACGAAAGTAGAGAAACTAAGTCGGCCAAGTGAACGCAAGCTGAGGGGAGCTAGGTGTAAGAGAGAAATGCAAGTCGGCCCACCGAGACTAAGAATGCATAACTAATTAAAATTTCAGTCATGAAAGTATGCTGTGGAACGAGGAGACGCTAAGTACAACGTTGTGAAAATAAGTCTTAGAATTTAAGGATCAAAACGAAGACATGACAAAAAGCAGGGCCATGACCCAAGCTAGGACAATCGCCTTGGCTGCAGCACAGCATGTGGACGGAGAGAATAAGGTTGATACAGACGAACCTCAACAGGTATAAACCTAGCGACAAAAGACAAGTCGATTACACGTAAAAGAAAATTTAGAAAATGAAAGAACAAGTCAATGTTACCTTTGATTAGTAAATGGAAATGATAAAATTTTAATACATAATATAATAATATGGCGGCAACAGTACATCACATAGGGGAACCCAGATAGACTTGGAAAACCCAAAAGCTTGTCTTACTAAGAGAATAAATAATCCTCAGACGTCAAGGTGTCCAAAAGCTCTTCTTCCTTTGGAAAATCAGTGCAGACCAGCTAAGCCTGTGAGGAATACCAGTCATCTCAAGCACTGTCAACCCGTATGGTGGATCATAATAGCCAAGTTTTAGCAGGTAGGGCGTAGCCTGCCATCCCACTTAAGTTGTGGGCTCTGTAGCGGGGTCGAAATTTCAGCCTTGTAATGTATCTGAAGCTTGGTTTGGTATGGGAATTGCAGCAAAATCCCTCAGACGCCTATGCTTCAAAGCGGCGGAGCAAATATACTAATATAATGAAATCATGTGCGTGCGCGTCTTATTACCATATGAGACTAGTTTAGGTCAACAAGTAAGAGAGAAACCGCCCTTATGGAGTAGATATTTTTCCACCATTTACTATTGAGGAAAACGCTAATTGAATCACCATAACGCCAAGTTGTCATAACCATGTTTTTCACGTTAATATTGGGAATTACTCAAACAGTAGATACTCATTGAAGATATGAAGACCAAGATGTTGTGGCCCCTGGTATATTCGCAGTCTCCTTTGGATTTATAAAAGTAAGTTGACCTCGTTGTCGCAACTTGATCTTGTTGTCAGGGCGACTTAGTAGAACGCACCTAGTCCAAAGTCGTCTGCCATAGTAGTTGCCATGATTCCCGGCATCCCTGATGATGCCGATTACGATGCCGGCGAAACGTTTGAGAATGTACCAAGTCCACTGTATCATGCTGGGAATCATGACAACTACTATGCCAGACGACTTCGGACTAGGTGCGTTCTACTAAGTCGCCCTGACGACAAGACGAAGTTGTGACAACGAGGTCAACCCACTTCTAATAAGCACTCAATTTTAAAGAGCTAAAGTTGTATTAGATGTAGTTACCCTATTTGGTTTAAGATGATGAAGGATTAGTAGTTGAACTTACCCTCAATTATATGAATAGAGCTGACGTTTATATTGAATTTCACATAACCTTGCTTTCCCAAAATGTGTTCCCATCCAGAGTGGACTGCAGTTTCGACCTCGCCTAAGTCATATCAACACCCCCAGCGAGAGTCGAACCATGAGAGTGCAACGTGTTATCTCAACACGTTAACCACTAAGCCACATTGCAACGAATCACATGGTCACATGGAAAATGTTGATTTCAAGGAAGGCCAGGCATTTTCGCATATCATATTTTTGGTGGGAGTGTCGAGGAAGCAAAGTTGTATTTGCTATGCCAATCGATTACATTAAAGACAACCAGTTAATCAGCTATATGAGCTAAAGTTTTGTTTTAAAAATATGGAGCTATACGCTGCCGGTAGCCTCAAAGGTCAAATATTTCTATATAAGGTCGGCTCACTTTCGAGGTTGGCAGCAGGAATGGAGTTTGAGCTAAGCCCAGGTCCAGGCCCCGAGCCTGCCATGCCAAGATTTGGACACCAGTGCTGCAGCAGGCCGCCTCCTCGGCCAGCCAATGAAGCACAGCAACGAACCATTCCTTGGTCAGGATCTCTTTCATTTAACCCCCGGCTGCCACCATATGATGTCAAAAGCTCAGCTTCAGTAAGGCACGAATGGCTAGTTGACTCGTCTGCAGCGGCTCCCGCCAGACTCGAACTCAAGCATGTTGATGTCGAGGTCGTTGAGGCTGAACTGACCCCTAGCCCATGCCCTGTGATGCCAGAAGTTGTGCAACCACCACCCAGGCGTGCTGGAATCGGCCTCGTCAGCTGATACTCCTCAAGACCTGAAGAACGCTGGTATCGCGAGGCCCTGTTGACGACATGTGGTCGAGTGTGTGTGCGAACAGTAACGGGGCCACCATAAGGTGTGATGGCAAAAACATGAGTTGTGCCGTGATTACTGCTTACGGCCACCCAACGTGAATCTCGAGAAAAGACCACATCAATAACCTGCGAGTAAAAAAATGTATATAGAAAGTCATTTTGCTTGGAAAATAATGATTAAAACTTGGAATATGAGTAAGAGATCAGTAAGTATTCCATAAAAAAAGTTAAATCAAGAGAAATACCGCCGTCTCAAGATAATTCTGCATCAACCATAAAAATAGAGAACACATGCATTACCTCCAAATAAAATTATTATTGGGTGATATCAGTGGAAAACGAATCTTAGTCTATTGCCCTTTCCCTCAGGATTGTAAGAATGTTTCAATTTAATAGTATCAGTCGACAGCTTCCGAGCTAGATCGCAGGAAGGTAGACATTACCAGCGCTGTTACTCTATTTCTCATGATTTTCTTTCATAATCCCCATCCTTCCATTTGCTCATCACGATCCATGTGTTGCGTCGATTATGATGTGTAGCAGCAACCAATTGATAAGTGGAGTGGAAGGGATTCTGAATGAGTCAGAAGCCCTGCAGATGGCATCTGGAACCGGTGGTGAAGGTGATTACGCTTCTGTAAACACACTTGTAGCGACACACTCGTGGGCGACAATGAAGGACACGAGAGCAGAGAAGTGTGTGGATAAGTAAATGAGCCAAAAAAGTGGGGTTAAAAGAAATAGATGCAGCACTAGAAAGTAGCACAAAAAGTTGGATCGAGGAGTGATAAACCAACGGTTGAATACAAAATTAATCAAAGAGGTTGTCTTCACTTGCTATTTTAACAAGTTGTAACGCTGTGATAACGATGGCACCTCTCCCTGACGATGCCGGTGAAATGTATGGTCCGATGCTGGAAATCACGAATACTATGGCAAAGGACGCAGGATTAGGTACGTTCCACAAGGTCTCCCTGTCGCTCCGGCCAAGTATTGAAAATGAGGTCAAACCAATACTATACAGCTAAAGAAGACTGCGACCAAACAAAAGACCATAGCACCTTTGTTTTCATATCTAGGTGTAGCTATGCCCATTACATTTGGGCGAGCCTAGGCCCATGTGATAAACCATTTCCTCAGTTAAAAGCAAGAAACGGTTATAGTCGAATGTATGATAGAATAGAAAATATTTACAAGAATCCAACTGACCAATCAATCCCGTCACAAATTAGGCATATAAGCAGATAAATTAGCAACAATCCAGTTTGGATATAAAGAGAACGGTATAACTATACAAATTTAATAAATATGATGGCCATCAAGTGAAAGCTAACTTCGTCCCAATATAGCATGTCCAATTCACAGGTTGCAAACAGTAAATGCTTGTCATGCTCCGCATGAGTATAAGAATAGCGCAACGAATGAGTTTATATGAAGAAATAAATTTGAGTTAGTCCCTCAGCTGTATGCTTTAGCAGGCCTGTAATAGGCACTTGTAAAATGTTCTACTACCTTCATTTAGAGCATCAACTTCAAAAGCATTTTTAGTAAAGATAAATATTTGATTAACCTGAGTAGTTGTGATAATTGAAAATAGGCTTCGAAATTCATTTAAGCCTATATATATATACGCAAATAGGACTATCTATAAAGCAGCTGATAGAATATCTTTTTGGTTAAGTCAGTAAAAAATCCTTTTATAAGGCAAGTGAAAGCAATTTTGCCAGTCACCCCAATAAGCAAAGAAGTCATACCTAGAAAATTTAATCATTATTATAAGATAAGAACTTAGCCGCTCTAAGCCGCTTAAGGTGATGGTTAAATTTATCCCATGAAAAAATGCGTATATCTCAAGATTCCATTGAATTTCACTTATGAAGAGCAAGATGGTTTGGCCTTTTGTGTGGTCGCAGTCTCCTTGTATAGAGGTTGTTTGACCTTGTTTTCGTAACATGGTCATATTGGTAGGAAGACTTATTGGAACGCACCTGGTCCGGGGTCCATTGTCTGCATGATCATTTCCAAAGTTGAACCGTAGACGTGGTACATTCCCAAACGTTTCTCGTAGTCGGCATCGTCAGTGAGTATCGCCATCCTAAGTATCATACAGCAACGTGCACCCGTGAGCCACAGGACAGATACCACTTTCAAGGGAAGCCAGACCTTGCTCAAATCATATTTATAACGGGATTGTCAAGACGCTAGTTATAGTCAGAGTATTTTCAAAACTATCGCCAACTTATGAATAAGAAATTAGCCACCGAAGTTTGATTATGGTGATTTTACGACTGAGGCCGAAGTATGCTCCACAATGAAATGAGTAATCGAATGAAATAATAAAAACAATGCTTAAATAA